CGGACCGGTTCCTAAATCTAGTGTATTGTTATCCTTAGTTGAGTTGTAACTTTGTAATTGTTCTTCATTGTAATTCCTAATTTACTTAGCTAGAAGTGTTGCTTAAGAACCCCCTTGTAAAATCATAAACCCTTAGTGTTTGTGTCGTGACTAGAGTTAGTCATGAGTTGAAGTCTTTGTAATAGGTGTATTGCAAAGTGGCTTGTAATAAGTGTATTACAAGTTAGTGTGGGATTAAGAGTTTAATTCCTAGATTGGATAGGTTGTAATCTAAAAGTTTCTCATAGTGAAGTTGAAATTCTACCAATGTAGGTCGTGGTATTTTTATCCCCTTGAGCAGGGATTTTTCCACGTAAAACTCCCTGTCTTATTTACTTACTATTTCATTAGCATTCTCAGTGGGAACTCATAAGAGGATATGGTCTCTCTATAGTTTGGTGGACTCATATAAACTATCAATTGGTATTAGAGCAGGTTCCTCCTATTAGGCTAACAGCTAGGAATGATCCTTATGGCCGCTCTACCAAATTTTGAAGAAGGTCAATCTACGTATAGACCACCCAGGTTCAATGGGCAATACTATGGGTGGTGGAAGATGAGAATGCATGATTTCATCATGGCAAAAGACTTTGAGTTGTGAGATGTCATATGTGATGGTACTTATATCCCAACAAAGAGTGTCGGAGATCTTCCATTGACGATGCCAAAGACAAGAAAGGAATACACTGATGCAGATAGGAAAGTTGTGGAGAAAAATTTTTGTGCCAAGAAAATCTTAGTGTGTAGCATAGGACCTGATGAATACAATAAAATATCGGCTTGTCAAACTGCCAAGGAGATATGGGAAGCTTTGCAAACAGCAGATGAGGGAACCACTCAAGTAAATCAATCTAAGATTGATATGCTTACCACTGAGTATGAGCTCTTTAGGATGAAAGACGATGAATCTATTCAAGACATGCACACAAGATTCACTTCCATCATAAATGAGTTACACTCACTTGGTGAAGTCATTCCCAGGAACAAGCTTGTAAGGAAAATTCTTAGCCTCCTGCCTAGTTTATGGGAAAGTAAAGTGAATGCTATTACTGAAGCAAAGGATCTGCAGGAGCTGACCATAGATGAGCTAGTTGGAGATCTGAAAACCTACGAAATAAAGAGGAAGATAGATAGTGAATGAAGAGAACCAAAGAAGGAAAAGAACCTGGTACTTAAAGCTGAAAGCAATGACTCAAGTGAGGAGGACAGTGACATGGCTTACTTAACCAAAAGGTTTCAGAAGATGGTCAGAAGAAATGGTGGAATACTGAAAAAGGGCAACTCCAGTAGACCAAAGAACTATGATCTCTTCCATTAGTGTGGAAAGTCGGGGCACTTCATCAAAGATTATCCTCTCATGAAGCAAGAACACTCCAAATACAACCCTGATAAAGTAGTAAAGAGGAACCTGGTTCCTGACAAACACTTCAAAAGGAAGAGATCTGCTGACAATGTGGTGAAGCAAGCTCTTGCAGCATGGGAAGATTCCTCAGTGAGTCTGAAAAAGAAACCGATATAAGTGACAGTTCCATGATGGCAGTTGGAAGTGAAGAAAATGAATATGATTTTATATTTGCTTTTATGGCCCAATCAGATGATGATGATGAAGATGACAATGATGAGGTAAACTTCAGGGATGTTTAGAGATATATGAAATCCTACTCCCCTAAGAAACTCATGTCATTAGCAAATATATTAATTGATGTCTATCACAGTCTTGTAGAGGATAAGGATGCCTTGACCTTAGAACTAGGAGAAGCGGAACAAATTAGAGATGATCTGGTAGTGTGTGTAGTTGATCTAAAGGAAACTATAAGAGATTTAGAAAATGAAAAAATGGTTTTAACTAAAACAATTGCTAGTATAGAACATGAAAGAAATGACTTGGTGGTTGTAGCTATTGACTATAAGTAAACAATTGAGAATTTCAGTAAAGAAAAAGAGGCCTTAGTGGAAAAAGAGAATTCCATTGAGCAGGAGAGAGATCACCTTCTAGTAGTGATTATAGACCTAAAGCAAATAATAGAGGCACTTAGAGCTGAGTGTAGGCCTGGAAATTTTGAAAAAGGGAAAGAGATAGCTAGTGAGGCACACATTAAGCTAGAAAAGGAGTTAGCTACTATGAGAACTAATTTGTGTGCTGAGCTTGAGAAAAATAGGTAGCTCCAAGCAGAACTGGAAAGAGTAAAGAATGATCTTGAGAAGTCTCTTAAATGGACCTGGTCCTCGGAAGCTATTACTGCCATGTATGTTAATAATGGTGATAACAGGCAGGGAATAGGGTTTCAAAAGGAGAAAACTCCTTATAACACTCACAACAAATATATTACTGTACCCGATAATTGGTTGTGCACCCAATGTGGGAACAATGGGCATTTCAAGGAAAACTTCCAAGCTAAGGTTCAATCTCTGCAGAAAAACAAAGTTTTTGCTGAGAAAATAACTACTGAAAAGGGACCAGGTGCCACTCATAAAAAGTGCATGTTACTTGCATGGACTAAAAGATCATTTATTCATACTTTTTCTTATTACAAAGGACCCAAACTTGCTTGAGTTCCTAAATCTAACCCTTGATTTCCTTGTGCATGGAACAGTGAAAGGAAGCAGTCAACAATGGTTCATGAACCGTGGTTGCTCAAAGCAGATGACTGGAAATACTATGGACTTTCTTTCACTAAAAGCCCTGTAAGGAGGGAGTGTATCCTTTAGAAATGGGAAAAAGGGGTACATTCTTGGTGTTGGAAAAGTTGGAATGTCACTCACTCACTCATTCAATTGAGAATGTGTATTATGTCAATGGTCTGAAGTATAGTCTATTGAGTATTTCTTAGATTTGTGATAAAGGAAAAAGGTGGAGTTCTTGTCCAAAATATGCACAGTTACAAATCTGATAACTGGTGAAGTAGTACTTGTGGCCAAAAGATACAAGAACATCTAAGTTACTGATTTCGAGTCGATACAAAGTGGTGATTTGAGTTGCCTGAAAGTTGTTGATGATGATGATGTTGAACTCTGGCACAGAAGATTGGGGCACGCAAGCTTCTCTCTTCTGAATAAACTAATTCAGAAGGACCTGGTCCATGGTTTGCCCATGTCAAAGTTCAAAGAACAGAAAGTCTGTGATGCATGTTCTAGAGGGAAGCATGTGAAGTCCTCATTCAAGTCTAAGAAAGATGTCAGCACCTCAAAAACACTTGATCTCCTTCATATGGATCCGTGTGGCCCTATGAGAGTGCTAAGCAGGGGAGGAAAAATATACATCTTTCTGATAGTGGATTACTACTCCAGAGTCACTTGGACTCTATTTCTTAGAATAAAAGATGAAACCTTTGAGGTATTCGTGGCCTTTGTGAAGAAAATCCAGGTGAAGATGGAGTCTAAAGTAGCATGTATTAGATAAGATCATGGAAAAAGATTTGACAATGCCAAATTTGATGAATTCTGTAATGAAAATGGCATTACTCACAACTTCTCAGCCCAACAACTCCCCAGAAAAATGGAGTTATGGAAAGGAAGAATAGAACTCTTGAGGAAATAGCAAGAACAATGCTGATCGATAGTGGGATTGCAAAGAACTTCTAGGCTGAAGTTGTCAACACTACCTGCTACTTGGTGAATGGGTGCATAATCAGATCTCTCCTGAACAAAACCCCCTATGAGTTGCTGAATGGAAGGAAACCCAAGTTGACTTACCTAAGAACATTTGGGTGCAAATGTTACGTTCTCAACAATGGAAAGGACCAACATGGTAAATTTGATGCCAAGAGTGATGAAGGAATCTTTTTAGGATATTCTTCTCAAAGCAAAGCTTACTAAATATACAGCAAGCGGTCTTAGTGTGTTGAGGAAAGTGTTCATGTAATCTTTGACGAGTCTTATCCCTCCTGTGATAAAATCAACAAGGATGATTAAGATAAGGAGCCCTTACTGGTTCCAGGTGAAGTCATCAACATGACAAATAGAAAGGCAGACATGATGAGTCAAGTGAAGGAGCCAAGTGGAGACAATGCAGCTTCTTCCTCAAGGGAACCAGGTACCACAATTACAACCACTGAAGCTGAAGAAAGAGTGGTTGATGCAGTGCAAGGTACTACACAAGTAGCTGAGAGAAGAACACAAGGGAACCAGTTAGATCTACCCAGCTCCTCTATAAATGAGCCTCAATTGCCAAACTGGAAAAACAAAAGCTCTCATCTTCTTGACAACATAATTACCCCGCTAGATTCTGGAGTGCAAACCAGATCAAAAGCCAAAAATTCACTTGCCTTAGCAACCTTTTTTTCCAAATAGAACCCAAAAACATCAAGGAAGCCCTAAAGGATGCAGACTAGATTACAGCCATGCAAGATGAGTTGCATCAATTCGAAAGAAATAATGTATGGCACATGGTACCTAGACCCTCAGATCAAGCCATCATAAGCACCAGGTGGGTATTCAGGAACAAGCTTGATGAAGATGGAAACACTACAAGGAACAAGGCTAGGCTAGTGGTTCAAGGTTACAATCAAGATGAAGAAATTGATTACGATGAGACATTTGCTCCGATTGCTTGCATGGAAGCTATTAGAATCCTAATTGACTTTGCATCACATATGGAATTCACTTTGCTCCAAATGGATGTCAAAAGTGCATTTCTGAATGGATTTCTTAAGGAATAAGTCTATGTAAAGCAACCTCTGGGGTTTGAATGCTATGAACACGCTGAATATGTGTTTAAACTAGATAAGGCATTGTATGGGTTGAAGAAGGCTCCTCAAGCTTGGTATGAAAGGCTATCAAAGTTCCTCTTAGAAAACGACTTTACAAGAGGAAAAATTGACAACACCTTGTTCTTGAAGATATGAGGGAGGAACCTGCTCATTGTTCAGGTATATGTTAATGATATTATTTTTTGGGCAATAACCGATTCACTGTGTGAAGAATTTGCAAAACTCATGGGAAGTGAGTTTAAAATGAGTATGATGGGTGAGTTGAATTTCTTCTTGGGTATTCAAGTGAAGCAGTCCATAAAGGGTACATACATCTGCCAGCAGAAATACATCAAGGAGCTCCTGAAGAGGTTTGATATGGAAGCATCAAAAGTGATAGACACTCCCATTGCCACTGCCACTCGATTGGACATGGATGAATCTGGATCTTCTATGAATCAAACTATGTATAGAGGCATTATTGGGTCTTTATCTACCTTACTACCAGTAGACCTAATATTGTCTTCAGTATCGGGCTATGTGCAAGGTTTCAGTCAAATACCAAGGAATCTCATCTGAAGGCTACCAAAAGAATTTTGAGATATCTTAAGGGAACACAGGACTTGGTCCTGTACTACCCTTCAGGTGACAATTTTAATCGTGTTGGGTATGCTGATGCTGACTATGCTAGTTATCTTGTGGACAGAAAAAGTACCTCTGGAATGGCTCACTTTCTAGGATCATGTCTCATCTCATGGGGCACAAGGAAGTAAAGCTCAGTGGCTCTTTCACAAGCTGAAGCAGAATATGTAGCTACAGCTTCTTGTTGTGCTCAGCTCTTACGGATCAAACAACAATTGGAAGATTTTGGTGTATACACTGATTGTGTGCCTCTTCTATGTGACAACACCAGTGCACTCAATATGGCCAAGAATCCAGTTCAACATAAAAGAACCAAGCACATTGATGTGAGACATCATTTTTTGAGAGACAGTGTGGAGAAGGGGCTTATCTGTATGAAGTTCTGCAGTACTGAAGACTAAATTGCAGATATCTTCACCAAAGAATTAAGTAGGGAGCATTTTAAAAGAAATAGGGTGAAGCTGGGGCTATTGAAGCCTAATTGAGAACCTGATTCCCATCAGTTGGCTATGAAAGTCACCTTCAGGTAATATTAGATAAAGTGTTTTCCGGCCAAGTCTAAATCACTTCAATACCGTTGCAGGTAGACACACATGATGATTATAGAAGTTGTAGATGCATTACATGGGCGGTAAAAGATGATTGAAATTTTCAAAGACAGGCCAAGAACCTGGTTCTTGTACCAAAGGTTAGTAGTCATGTGTATTCTTTCATACATATCTTAAAAAGGTGCAAATATCAACTGCCATGTCATCCACCTTTTTAGACTCTGTTGTCATGTCTTTTCATTTCAAATCCTTTCCATCTCCCTCTAAAATGTTGCAACTTTCCGCAAACTATCGTCGTTTCAGAATCAGTTTCTATCTCTCTCCCTCATAATTATCTTCTTTCATTAAAACCCTTTCTTCTCTTGACCGATAATATTCCTTTCATCAGACCTTCTCCAACAATTCTCAACTCTATCTCTGCAATGACTGACAATCACTCAAAAATCCCTTCTTCAGTAGAAATTAACCTAGAGAAAACCTTTGAGTCCTCCGTCCCTAATGAACCATCTGTCACCATTCCAATATCAACCACTAAAAATACCTCTAACCCAAATTTCCCCACACCCTCCTATTCTAATATGACTATCTCATACCTCTCTCTCCCTTCAAATAATAAGGACTCAGAAACCCAAAAAATCAATAATCCTTTATCTCTATTGACTGAGATTCTCACCGACCAAGGCAAGGGTGGAGAACACGGTAAAGCTCCAAAGTTTATAGAGGTTTCAAGGGCTAGGATTGATCAACCTTCCGCCATTCTTACTTCAGATTCTATGGTGTATATGGAGACTCTAAAGGAGGAAATTGCCGCAACCATTTTTGTTGTATCTGCAGATAGAATAGTGCATGAGGTAGTCTCTGGTGTACCCCAATCTCAAAGGAATAAGACACAGGGTTTAAGGGAAGAAGGAGCTATGGTGCTGGTTGAAAGCTCTGCACCAACAGAAACTACTAGGACTTCTTGTGAAGGACTTGACCCCTCTTCGGAGGAAACAGGTCAAGGATCCCCTCCTAGTCAGTTCTGCTCCTGCACCTTCTCCACACTTTGCTGTTGAGCCCTTGGAAATTTTGGTTCCTGAGATAAGGTCTAATGATGAGGAAGATCAAGACAACATTGCTATAGATGCATTTATTGTCAAGCGAAGGGCAGTAATCACTACTAAGTCTTCTACTAAGCGACATACTACTAGGTTGCAATCAAAAAAAGCTTTTGAGTCTACCTCCAAAAGAGCAAAAGGAGTAGTAAGAAGAAAAAGAATAGGTTGGTGAAAAATGGAGAGGTAGTATGTGACAAAGACATCCATGTGGTGGAAGTTGATGAGGAAGCAACAGAGGAACCAAGTCCTTCATTAAAAGTTCCCAAAAGAATAAGCACTCTGCTTCAATAGAAGATGTTACAACCCCCAGTTCAAAGTTGAAAGTTGTTGTGAAAAGTAGAAAATCGAAAGATGTTGTGAGTGAACCAACATTTTCTGATGAGGATGTTTTGGACAAGTCTAGTGGAAAAGAAAAATCATGTGTTGTGAAGTCTGGCAAGAGAAAGTTGGAACCTGTAAAGGAACCTGGTTCTACAAAGAAAGTGAAAAGTGAGACTAGGTCTGCTACTGAATGTTTAAAGCACCAAAAGGTCTTGTTGGGTCGCACTTTTGACCCAGCAATTTCTGATATGGCTGGCATGAGACAAGTAATTGAGGTGGTTGAGTTTCAACGGTGGGGCATTTATTCCAAATGGATGCGCCCAAGGTGTGTAAGGATGAGGTCCAAAGCTTCTATGCCGACCTCTTTCCTGTTGACACTGACCATATTTGTGCTTTAGTTAATGGGGTGGATATTGTGTTTGATGTTGCTCTGCTTGGGGATATTCTGAAAGTCCCTACTGTTGGTATGTCTACTGTGAAGGATGTTTGTGGGTTAAACTTCAGAAATGATATCGTGAAGGATAATGCAAACCAGAAAGGGGAACGGGTTCACAAGAAAGCCTTGCTCCCTGTTTATCAATTGCTCTTCGAGCTGGTGAACACGGTTCTTCTACCCCGTGCTGAGAGAAGGTCTATGACTTCCAAGTCCGACTTGTATCTGATGGAGGCACTGGATGGATTTACACCTGTGAGCTTGCTTGCCATCATGATTGAGAATATGCAGAAGGTGGCAACTTTCAAGGATGGAAACCATGGTCTTACATATGGGTTTCTTCTTACGCATGTTTTTAAGTTCTTCAAAGTGCCACTGGGATAGTGCAAAGTAGGGACCAAGAAGCAGACCTTCTCTAAAACAACTATGGAGGAATGTGAGTGTATCAAAAAGAATGGAGGGGTAGCCAGTACTTCGACAATCTCTCAGCTCATCAATGCTCAAAACAGTGCAACTGAGGAGATTCAAAAATTGAAGGCGAATAACGCTATCTTGGAAGGTCAGCAGGCCCAAGGGGCCTTAGGGTCAAATAAGGAGATAGCTCGTTGACCAAAGAAAATGTTGATCTCAAGGCACAAGTGGAGAACCTGAAGGACAAACTGCTCACCGAGCAAATATCGGTGAATGCCTGAATGGATCTTGTTCTTCAAACCCTTGCTGCAGCTTCCAAACCCTCTCCTCCTAGTGTCACTTAGGCAGCCCTTTCAGTGACCAGTTTCTGGATTTTGTGTTCTTGTTTTGATGACTTGGAAATTATTTTTGTTTCTTTTTTGTGATGTGGATGGGATGCACATGTACTGCTCCCGATGAAAACAATCCAATATTTGCTTTGTTGTATAAGCAAAGGCATATGTTTTACATATAAAAATTATCCACTTTTGTTATCCAATGCTTATGTTTCTCTGTTTCTATCTTCTATTATGTTGTGTGCACATATGTGGCATGAGTTAGCTAGGCTAGACTTCTTTATACTAATTGCCTGCTTGTGTATTTTCAATTATGCCAAAAAGGGGAAGTATAATTGAAATAGGGATTTGATTAAGGGGGAAACATAAAGTTAGGGGGAACTTGTGAAGTTCATGTTGCTTCATCAGGTTATTTCTGTTCCAAAGATATGTTATCAATTTCTAAGTTTGTTATCATCAAAAAGGGGAAATTGATGGGTTTTCAATGTCTTAGCTTTATGTTTTGATGATCTAACAAACTTACTATCAAAAAACCAGATAGGAAACCTAACATACTTGGTACACATTGCTAATCAACGAACTCCAACTAATGTGAACTGCTACAACTTAAGAAGATAGAGAACCAACACATGGACCTGATCCCTTGTGTTTTCCGGTCAGCAGTATGAAAGTCAACTATGTACAGCTAGAAAGTGACTGCCTGCACTGTACACAGAAACAGTGTAGCATAGTTCTGTAGTCACTTGTCCTTTGACCAACCAAGTGATTACATCATTCAAGTGATGTCATCCAAGTTTCATTAACAAGAGTATTACAACAAAACATCACTTGAACACTTGAGAATTTACTTCAAGCATTCAAGCCATTTGATATTCGAGCATTCAATACTCAAGTGCATCAAGAACAAAGTTTAACACTACTACGGACCAGTTCCTAAACCTAGTATATTATTGTCATTAGTTGAGTTGTAACTTTTTAATTATTCTTCATTGTAATTCCTAATTTGCTTAGCTAGAACTGTTGCTTAGGAACCCCCTTGTAAAATTATAAACCCTTAGTATTTGTGTCGTGAGTAGAGTTAGTCATGACTTGAAGTGTTTGTAATGGGCGTATTGCAAAGTGGCTTGTAATAGGTGTATTACAAGTTAGTGATGGATTAAGAATTTAATTCCTAGATTGCATAGGTTGTAATCTAAAAGTTGCTCATAGTGAAGTTGAAATCCTATCAATGTAGGTCGTGGTTTTTTATCCCCTTGAGCAGGGATTTTTTCACGTAAAACTCCCTGTCTTATTTACTTATTGTTTCATTAGCATTCTCAGTGGGAACTCATAAGAGGACCTGATCTCTCTATAGTTTGGTGGACTCATGTAAACTATCATATACACATACTTATAAACCTGCTATAAAAAAGCAGTTATGAAAATGTTGTACATAAATATTTGTTTGAAGTTCAGATATAAATTATTCAACTTACTTCATGTTCGTATCTTTGCACCAATATGAAGATGAGACGTCATTTTTTTTAGTATTGTTAATTTAAAAGGGCCCTCTTTTATTTAAAAAAAACACGTGCTATTAAGATGTGGCATATTAGAGAATTTTAAATGCGAGTTAAAGCTTAAAAACTTAAAGAGGAAAAAGCATAATATAAGATATTGAATGAAATAATATTAACATTAACATCCCAAAAATAGGGAAGGAAAAGTTTCCCCAAATCCACTTCAAACAAAAACAAAATGTTTCATAGACACTAACAAAAGTAAATTTCTAAGGTGAAGGATCATCATTAGCAGGGGTGGAAGGATCAACTTGAGAAGATGAAGGTTGGGCAACGGCTTGGTCAGCTATTTGACAGTCTTCATCACCTTTGGAACTTTTGTCTTCGGGTGCTGAAAAACTTTGACGTTGCTGAGTGTTTCCATTGCCTCTATAGCTTTGTCAATCTCAGCCTCAAGTTCAAAACCCTCTTGGTTAGCCTTGATCAA